GACACAGTCCATGTCTGTGCGTAATAGGTATTTTAGATAGGATCGATGTCTGCGCCTATACTTTAATAAAGGCAGTACCACTCTCCACCTTATAGGCATTTCAACTGCGTGGGACACACAGCATGTGAATCAGTCTCAGTCATTTTCCTCCTTAAATCCCCATCTTCTAGGATTTACTGAAATTCATATTGGCTGCCTCTGCAAGATAAATGTAAATCACATTCCCTTATATTTGTTATTTATCAGGATGCAGCAGCTCACTTTCAGCAGGAAATATCTCTCAGCCGCATACAAACACCCTTGCATTTAAATAGCATTTTTATTGTCCGCCATAGCCTTTCATCTGGGCGTAGGGAGAAGAGCTGCCTCTCGAGGGGAGAGAGTCGGAGCAAGAGAGGAAGGTGGGGAGAGAGAGGGAGCGAGAAAAAAGCACTATTGGCAAGGCATCATGGGATGACAAAAAGCCAAATGGAGGGAAGGAAGGTTGGTAGGTGAAAATAGATTATGAATGCATAAAGCTCCAACCAAAAATATTTTGGAATGGAAAAGAAGATGGCTTCACTTATGGGTGCTCGGGAGAGATGGAATGAGCAACACATGGCTCAGGTATACAGAGTGCTACCAAACGAGGCCTACATGTAAAGCTGCAGCTAGAACCATGATGCCTTCAAGAGAAAGTGCCATAAAGCTCTGAGTTTATAATGAGAAAGAATAGTAGCAGTTATGTCATACTTCATAAAGCTACAGTCCATGCAGATATGTGTCTTTGCAAGCTGCGGAAACAAACCAAGACCCATTAAGACACAGATGACGATGTTCCAACGCAACATGACGACGAGCACAGTTTGTGCAGAGGCACATTTCTAGTGTCGCAGATACTGAATATTTCCTCAGAGTTCAAAAGTGTTGCAAAACAACAGCAAACACTAATAATCTGTGCAGAAACAGTATAGCCAGTGGATATGATTTACAGTCCCTGGATTTTCTTGGCAGCTGCCAACAGCAGGTCTCTTTTTCTGAAAGCCTCTTACATCTTTTTTTATACTTGCCAAATTGAAACAGTATTTGTTTTAATGGGAGTTCTAATTAACCAGTATGTATTCCCCCTCTTGCTCTGCGAGTGGCTGAGCTATGAATGCAGGCTATGTGCTCATCCCCTTTGATTTGTTGTCAGAGGAGCCTGCCAGCTGACACAGTGCCCGGTGAGAGGCTTAATGCCCAAGTTTTAATAATGTGGGGGACTACATGAATCTCCCCCTCTCATTGGTATTCAGGTGCAGAATGTCTTGTTAGAAGTCAGAGAGGGAGGAGGAAGGAAGCCAGAGCTCCAGATTGTTCCGTATATTTTCCCCTCTCCATTTTTTTTTTTGGCAACGACAGAGCTTGCTTCTTAAAAATAATTCATCCCGTTTTTAAAAGAAGCGTCTGCGCTAGCTAATGGAAGAGCAGCAGCACAGTTTGGAGTCTCCCCTGGCTTATCTCTCTCAGACAGTTGTGGGGAGTCGCTGGTGAGCATGGTGTCAGCGTGCGTGGTACGGTGCAGCGCCGCGCGGGCAGGCAGGCCTGGGGACACAGATCAAAGGGAGGCAGGGGTGAGAGCCGCTCTGCCTCTGATCCCGTGTACGTGTGTGTATGTGTGTGTGTGTGTGTATGTTAAGGCCCGGCCCACTCACACAGCCCAAAGGCCCTCCTCAGATACACACATACACATCCTTGTCATTCCAAAACACACAACACTTTCATAAAACTGCAAAACAGAAAAAAAGTTCCTCACAAAACTTTGCAAACTTCCTTCATCAAAACAGAAATAAAATCTCTATCAGTCACACCTTTGACTTCCCACTCTATATCAAGTCTCCCTATCATTTTGAATAACCCGTGAACATCATCAACAGTGCATCTCCAACTCTGCAATATAAATGCTTTTTGTTTTTATTATCCGCTGATGTCGTGATTTCTGGAAATTTCTCCGAGGAGTGAAACCCAAGCTCTGCCACTGAGATCCTTTTGCAGGGTCTCCAGTCAGTGCAGTTGTTTTCTTTCCTCTCCCAGCAGGTGTCCCTGTCATGCAATAATGAGGAATTCAGCCAAAATGTCTCCCCTCAAATGCAATGCCCATGAAAATTACTTCAAATAATAATTTGAAAAGTATCTAAAGGCTCTGTAGAGTATGATATTACCAGGGTTTGTAAAAAAATATTCAATATTCTTACGACTTTGTGTTGGCTGTCAAAGCGTGCCCTCTTCAGTTATAGAAGGGATGCTTTACTTGTGTATGCAAAATTCAAATATATCGCATCATGATAGCCATTTATAAGGCCAAGACAAAGGGCTTTTGCAAATGCTTTAACAGGAAAAATATCCCAATGAAAAAGCATGCATGAGCTTGAATCTTCAGGTAAAGATGGATAAAAGAAAAACTGGAATGCCTGTCCTCTGTGCCCTTGCCTTTCCTTCTTTCCACACCTGCTGTGCCGCTAAATGAAACAAGACCAACAACAAAACACACTTCTGGTGTTTTCATACCTTTTGCCCAGCCATGCACAGCTTCACTCTCATCACCCCTAATACACTGCCTTCTTCAACCAGCAAAACACGTTGTACATCCCACAATGACAGCAACCAGTTTGAGTGCGGATGGCTTTTCCACCGCCTGTAATGGGAAAATGTGTGCTGTCGGGATAGGTTATGGGATTGGGATGGACGCGAGCCCCTGTCGGGACTGCTGAACGCTGCAGGATTCCATTACAGACTTGGCACCTCGCCGCTGCAGCCCATTTACTGGGAATCAGAGAATTTTTGTCAATCTTTACAGCAACTGCTAGGCCATCGATGCCAGACACTTGAAGAAATAGCTTGCACATACCGATGCACAAGCATATCTCCTGCAAACAGATGCTCTCTGTAACTTACAATATCAAATTCTCATTTCCATCTCGATAGAGAGTCTCTTTGTGTTGCTCTTTTTCCATTACAGGGAAGGGAAAAAATGGAAAGACTTGCTGTAAATCATGGGAAAATAAACTTTAGGTTATCCAATGGTGAAACAGATTTGCTATTTGATTGAAATGTGTTCATTGGAAAATATTTGAATAAGGTCTGACATGGAAAAGGTATAGTGAGTATTTATTGTGTGAGTTTGTGTTGCAGGTTTTCTATGTATATCTGTATGTTTGTGAAGAGAGAGAGAGACAGAGAGAGAGAGAGAGAAAGAAAGAGAGAGAGAGAGAGGTGGGAGCTGCCCAGCCCAGCAGGACGCTGCCCCAGAGAGTGAACTCTGATTCTGCTGTCAGTGGGAACATTCATCTCCATGCTGAGAGACTGATAGGAATGCCACACGGCATTCTGCATGCATTCAATACATTTCAATTCTGTGCAGTGAAAACATGGGGTGACACACCAAAAACATCTACACTACATGTCATTCCCCTCTGAGAAAAAATATAGAAGAAATCCACAATTTCTGTTCTGAAAAAATTACTTAATTAAAAAACAAATGTTTCATGTTTATTTTAATTTTAATTGAACCCTCTTGATAGAATAATTGAAAAGTGAAAATCCATGCTGTACAGTTGCCCAAAGGCTCCTGTCCTAATCCTCACTAGGACAGGAAATGTTTAATATCCCAACACATTCTTGAGTGCCTGTGAAGAGAGGGAGAGAAAGCGACAGTGTGCCCCATGCCAGTATTAGAGAGAGCCATTAATGAAAAAAAAAAATCGGCTCCATGTTCCTGGTGTTTTTCTGCAGGTTTGCAGTGAGAGCATTAGCAGTTAAAGCCCCTGTGCCACGATTAACAATCAAACACGCTGTGAGCCTCCATGTTATCCTCCGTCGCTCCAGCAGGAGAGAAAATCTCTTTTTTGTCACAAAATCCTTAATTCTTTCTTCTCTGAAGAAAGAGGGTAATACCAAGAATGTTTCCAATCTGCTTTGAGAAATATTTGAAGAAAAAAAAAAAACTCGCAATAAAACATGTGTGAACGACGGGGTAATTGTGGACAAATGCAGCATTGAAATTCATTTTCAACTCTTTACACACCATTTCAATCTTATTTTCTGCCTGTTAACCACATCGTGTTGGTGAGGGTGGGCAAGACTGGCCGGTATTGATGGGTAATTGTGTATAATTCACTCCGTACACACGATTTGCATCAATACAAATCATTTCTCATTCTGAGCTACTTAAAGCTCAACCCTTGCCATAGTCGCATTTAAACGCTCATTAATGGAGGTGTCCAAAGAGGTTAACATGTGAAATCCTGCGCTTTTCACAAGAGCCGGCAGACAAATGTGCACGCACACACATTAAGATGGCACAGAGGAGAATGGGTAGTGTACATATTTGAGGGATTTAAACTGCAATTAGGAAACCTAGAAACCTAAGTAGCCTGGGTAATGCTCTCTTTTATCATGACAGGAGTGCACAGGAGCACGTGAAGTGGCCAGCAGGATAAACCTACTAGAAAACCTCACACGTAGAGGAAGCCTCTGTCAATCTGCGCATAGAGCTGCCTGGAAATCATGCAGTAAAGTGATGGAGAAAATCTCTACATAGCAAAGAGTCTTCCAGCTGCAGACAATTACGTGAAGAAGATTATGGGTCTACATTTATAAGCTTTAGCTAATTATTTCATCTGCATGTGTTCTCAGTGCGCTGCGTGAGGATTTAGACGTCCCAGGAAAGTCAAAACCGCTGTTTGGAGCAGCTTGAGTACTTGCGGTACTATCAAGATGAATTTTAATTTGTTGATGTTAATCCAATTGTTTTACAAATGTAGCAATTTAGAGTAGCTGAAATAAATCCAGGGCTTTGGAAGGCGAACATGAAAGCCCACACTGGCAGTTATTTTCCTGAACATGCTGTTTCTGAATTTTAATTTCAGTCAAATACAATTACATATTCTGAAGAGTGAGAGGAGGAGTGAGGGAGTTATGGGCTGATAATGGTGAACATGAGGTTACTTCTTATATATGGAGGTAAAACTTGTTGGACTGACCTGTGGGGAGAGCCCGTTGCCCACAGAGTTCATGTGGTTGCTGGAGGCTGAAGGGCTCATGAAAGTATCGGAGTAGCTGGAGAAGCTGTGGCGATTGGACGAGAGACCATAAGCAGAGCTGCTGTCGGCACCCAGGCCTCCCTGGTGCATGGAAGATGGAGGCAGGGGCTGGGGTCTGTGCAAAGTACCGTCTGACACCAAGAGAAACATAAACATGTAAGAGAGAATCGAGGGAAACACACACTTCAAATTCTGAGTTGAATCCTAAAACGGCAGCCTCAAAGTCATAAGTCATACATTAACTTTGCTTTTTGCAAATTAATAATGATAGAAAATATGTTAGTGGCACATGCCTATATGTCTTTTGTCTCTTTGCATACAAAAATATGGCAAATGACAGAAGTGACCTGACCTTTTTATGGACAGTAAAATAAGTGATGGTTAGTTTCTGTTCCACTGGGACAAAGATGGAATTGTAAACATAACTACATGCTGCATGGTTCTTATATGCTGCACATGTTTCATATATAATCTATAATTGTATTAACATGAACGTGAAATAAAGATGGCATACCACAAATAAATAGGACTAATGTAATCTTTACTTAAATTAGATTTAACTCAAAAGTACAGTATGTTTTTTCGGATGGAAATATTATCCGTTAGTCTTACCCTGTGATAGCGTGGTCCCGGGGTAGCCGGACTCTTGTAGCTGGTATGTGGGTAAATTTGGCATCCCTGTGGGGGGGAATCCTCCAGGAAGCAGGTGGTTGAAAGCCGCTAGCTGGTTGGCCCCGGCCTGTTTGCGCCACCGAGCTCGTCTGTTGCTAAACCAAACCTGAGAAGAGAAACACACACACAACTTAAAGTCAAAGCACACTTCAAACCTTTTTTTCAACTACTTTAGCTTTGACAGTTGAGCTTGTGCAGGTTTGTAGTTGTTTTAGTTTTATTCTTCATTCACTTAAATACTGTATTTGTGTTTGTGCTGTGAGAATTTGACTGCAGTAGACCCTCAGTAGCGTCTGCTAGCTCCTGACACCTGTGATTAATCTTCCAGTTAGTATGAGTGCCGTTGCTGGTGGTGGTGGAGCGAGTCCCTGTGGGAGCGTCCATAGAGGCTCAGTGGTCCGTCCCTGTTGTTCTTAAGTGGCTGAAGCTGTGATCTGTGTAAACAGGCTGCCCTAAGCTCACTTCAGAGGGGAGAAGTCATTTAAAGGTCAGAGGTAGGCCACTACCCTCCATATCACACACCTCAAGCATGTTTGTGAAGCTATTGGATGCTTGAAGAGAGGTCATCACTTCTCCAGAGACACAGAAAAACAGCCCATCCGCTGCCGTGCTGTTTCAGTGTGGTTGTTTTTAAAGCTCTAAAGTCAGTTTAAAGAGTAAGAAAATGTATTTAACTTTAGAGTCAAGACAGAGAGTTCCAAGGCTGCAAATAGCTAAATGTTCACAAAATGAGCAGGACCAAAGCGCAGACACACACAATGTCAATCCCCTGAATGAAAAGGGGAACAAAATAGGACGCTTTTGAACCACAAAGATTTACACATTTTAAAAAGGCTTCTGCTTCAACAAAACATGAATATAATCAGGCCCTTTTGAAAAGAGCCAGCAACCTGTTCCATTTAACCAAGACAAGGCCCGGGCTTCACTGTGTGCTAAGGGTTGAAGGACATTGATCTATGCCTCGCACAGGCAATTCATCAGAGTTTAATACACTGTCAGCGCAGTTCATCTACTGTTGTGTTTCAAACGGCCCAAGCTATTGTGAGAGCACATGAAAGAGGGGGACAAAAGCCCCTCCATACGCCACGGAGAACAGTGGACACAAAGAGGGGGCGTCCCTTTTAAACAGGTCTTAAAGAGGGACACTTTCAAGGGGACTTACACAGCGACATACTCACTGCTTCTCGGGGACTGCCTCTTTTTGTACACACAAACATACATATAAACTCTTATAGGCCTACAAGGGATCTCAGCCCAATGGAGATCTTAATTTGAATGTGGTTCTTTTCCCACACTGTCGAAACCTCTGCAAAGACCAGGTGGGTTTTTTGTGCTAAAGATTGGTTTAGTCTTGACCAAGAAAAGAAATGGGATGCAACAGGCGATGGCTCTCTGGGGCAAACCTCAAACAACGCAACTGGAAAACTAACAGGAAATCTTTATCGCAAGCCTGATTACTTCTAAAGACCCCGTTTGAATCCTTCAATCAGCGATTCCAAAACAAATGTGGAGAGTGGCTCCAGTGAAATTTCTGCTATTGGGATGTAGTGGAGCGTGATCCAAGGTCTGAACTAAGCTCCTACTGCGCCAGACAAACAGCTGCCTGCCTGGGGGAGGGGGGCACGGGTACACCCCTTTCTTCCACACACTCCCCTTCACCCCACCCCGCAGTGCCACTTCACCTCCGACCTCATCCACTCACCCCACCCCTCTTTTATGTTCACTTTAACTTCCTTCCCCCGTTGTCATCCAAGCTTAGGAAGGAGGTGTTCCATCATGGCATGACACAAAACACTTAAACGTTGAAGTCCTCTTCTTTTAACACTTTCCTTTCCTCACTGATGCATTTCAGTTTACTCCTAATGTTTCCAGTTCTTATGTAGATTAATTTGCAGATGCATCACCTCAATGCTAGATATATCCTTTCATTTCAAATGTAATTTACTTTGCAAATTAGTAGACTTTAAACAATTATTTGTCAGTCTTTTAAGAGTCTCAGTTCAACGTTAACTACCTAAATGATAAAAAAGTCTGCGGCTTTGTTGAGTTAGTTAGCACAAAAGCAGAGTGTGTGCCTCCACTTTAATATATGGGCATAGGCTGCTGACTGAGTGGACAATTGGCTGTCTCCCGGCACAGACTGGGATAAACATGTGCACAAGTGGTGATGCACACGCACACAATTGCCCATACGCTATCACACACATGCATACATAACATACACACATCGGCTCTCACATAGACTAACACACAGCCTGAAGCTGAGGATTTGAGCCTGCGCTCTGGAACCTGATCACAAAGTCACCTTGGACCACAGATTCTCCTCTGCTCTCCCCAATCCGGTTTAATTCTCTGCAGTACAGAGAGCTGCAGCGCTCCTCCATGTCTCCCATATCTACCTACAAGTGTGGCTCACTTCTGTTTTCTTTTCACGGACTAAAAGGTTTCTCTGCATGCAGTGCACTTGGATGAGTCGGCACTGCAGCTCTTTTGGGGAAGGTTTTGGGAGGAAGAGAGGATGGAAGAGCAGTAACCCATCTTACAGAAGTCAGTCTTAGCCCTGCTTGGGAAACAATAGAAGAAGACTTTGAGAAAGACTTATTTGGACGAGGGTGAAGGTTGTTTTAGTTCTGGAAGAGGGTCTATTTGCAAACCTCAAACCTGCAATCGGATAACACCCATTCACAGTTTTAGTCTTCATTTCGGTGGCTTGCATCGCTTCATTGCATTTAATCTTTAGCCGATCAAGTGGAATTTTGTATTTTCTTATCGCTTATCTGTGATAATACGCACTCGCAAACATTGTGGATGTGTGACACTACCCTGCACTGCAGTAAAAATCTCTCTCTGTTGTTTCTCTTAAATAGGATCACTCATATTTCAGAATTCCCCGTTCAGACAATCCTCCATGAATTATTTTGTCACTGAATGTGTGACGCCTTTCAGGAGCCAATTTGCAACATTCGGTAGATGAATACCAAGAGCCGAGATAATGACAAAACAAAATGTGCTGCTGACTTCATATCCACAACAACACCGAGGGGTGATGCAACCAGCCTCAACATACAAATCCTCTTCTGTCTCATACCACGCAATACACCCCCCGTCCTCCCTCCTTCCCCTCTTCTTCCCCCTCTCTCTCTCTGATTCCCTCCCTGCTTGCCTTCCAGACTGGCACTATGCTAATTAAAGTAGCTAGGAGTGTGAATTTGAGAGGAGAGTGGGATTAGCTTGATAAGTATCAGGAGTACAGAAGCACTGTACCAAAGTCATTTAAATTCTAATAATAAGAAACTGTTAGAACATTCACACTGATGCATTGCAACAATTTCTACCCTACAATCTACACAAATCCTATTTATTCCTTTATGAAACATAAACCCATACTGGCGGGAATACAGTGGTTGTCACCACTCAGCTCCATTGTGATGTTCTCTCTTGCCGCTGGTACTTGACTGATATTATAACAATCAGGAAACTGTGTAGTACCTCCTGATACCTCCCAATGGGATTATATTTCCACTAGCTGTGTTGAAAACTGGTTTGAAAGCATCAGCATGAATTTGCCTGTACTGGTCCGTCACATAAAGCTATGAAGACCAGCACAAAGTCTCCATATAGCTCCTCTCTCAGTGCTCATTCCATTGCATCAACAGGCCAGCACAAGCCACAGTTAAAGAGAGAAACTTTTACCAAATTGATTTGCACGCTTCGTAAAAAGCAATGCTTATACCTTATTAGATTCCACTAAGTATAATAGCTACATGCAGAATGTTTATTGGCAATGAAAGAGGATCTATGTGACAGATTCAGTAAAGCAAGCCGGAGGCAGCATGCTGAGATGAGGAGCCTCAGCTGCGACTCAGGAGTCACTCTTTTAGAAAACTTCAGTCTAAATAGAGGAGATTGTAATTTGCTTCATCTGTGAACGCTGATTTACAGCGGCCCACAGCCTATTGCCTGCACCCCCTCCCCTCAGCTACCCCCACCAGGTCCACTTTGCTGAGGGACACAAGTGATGCCCTTTCTCTAATAGCTCACTGAATGGCTCTGCTGCCTGCTCCCGTTAGAACTGAGGGGTTATCAGATGGAAAGTGGCAGCACACACTGCATCAGCGGAGCACGTACTGAAGGTAGACTTGGCAGGATCCCTTCCCACTGAGACGGCCTGGAACTAATTGCAGAGAGATACGGATCATATCCCACAATTTGTCAGTTGGGGTGATAAAACCATCGCAGGGCTCATGGTGGTGAAGGAGCGCTGGTAGCTCTGCTGAAAGGGGCAGCGGGGCTGATAAAGATGGATGGTGAAAGGGTCTTAAAATGGCAGGCGAGGGCAAACACAAGGGAGTAAGCTCTGTTTATGAGTTTAGGTTGTGAGTCAGCGCTAAGCCAAACACTCATCACTTCCATAAGAAACTAGCGTTTTAATTTATAACACGGCTTCGGGCTCATGCGTTTGAACGCCGGGTGCAGCAGTGTTTGCACCTCATAAGTTCAGTTTAACTCTGAACCTGGAAAACTGCACACATTAACACTATGTTTAATGACAAATGGGAAGCAGTGGACCATGACCTCAGACACAAATTTGAGTTAAAATATGAGTCACCGACACCCCCCTGCTTATACTTTCTCTCGCCCCAAACACCAGTTGGTCTGCGACCGACATCTGGAAGATGCGTCATTGCAGATGTGCTGCAGAAGCTTTGCTCTCGGGCCAAAGGGTCTCCTCTCTCCTGCCTGGTGATGGGCACCTTTGTGAAAGCCCAGCTGGTGGACATTTCCAGAACGATGTGTTGCAAACCATCAATTTCAAATCAAACACATTTCTTCAAGATTGAATTTATCTTGATTATTTATCTATTCATTAAAGGGTGCGAAATTTATGTTTGTATGAAATTTCCACTCGTTTAACTTAAAAGTAGTGATAACCTAAAGATGTTTTGCTACAAAACAATCAGACTTAAGTGAGAGTTAAAGACACCCATCCCTCTTTACCAAACTTCGGCGCATCTTTATTTATTTTGGCTACCAGAGCCCCTTTCTTCGTAACCTTCTCAGAATTAAGTCTAAGTTGACCTTTTGAGACTTTCAAAGCCTTTAAGAATTAGATTACGAGGCAAACAGCATTATCAAATTATAGCCATGACTCAAATTCCTCAGGTTTTCACATGACATCATTTAAGTCTATTATCTAACAGTAAACACACAGCAGTCACTCCGTCTCCTTTCTTTCACGAGCTTTCATGTTTAGATATTTTTGTCAGGCTCCAAAAATACACAGATGCTTTGACAAGAATGGATTTTGTTTAAAAATGTATTACTGTCCTTCATGATTACTTTAAATTGCACAAGATTGATGCATTTGTGCATGGCTTTAATTATAAGCTTTTCAAGTTAAGCAATATATTTGGTTTTTACAATGATGTGTATTTATTCAATCATATTAGGATTGTTGGAAATAAATCTACAAAATGCTAAATCAAATTTAGTTTCTATATATTTCTTATCAGAATGTAATAGAGAAGATTTTCAAGAGAAATGATTCATGCTTTCAGTTTTTCCATGTCATGCTCAAATTTACCTCTTAAGATAAAATAATATATTGCCTTATAACAGCCATGCGAGAAATTTCTCCTCCCTTGAGTGAGGCATTAAACACTCAGACATATAAGACATCCTTTGCGTGTTGGGGGGTTTCAAGATGGACAAAGACATGTGTGGAATTAGTTACCCCGACTGCATGTTTGTAGTGTGATGAACAGTTAGCATGCGGTGAGGAGTTTGGGGGGTTCAGAGGGAGTGTGAACCACTGTGGTAAGAGGAGAGGGGTGCCCCAGACCTTTTCTCTTTTTTTACTAGCAGCTGATTGATTAATGTTGTTGTCGGGGCATAGGGTCTCTGGAGAGGATGAGGAGCCCTGTGTGATATGTGGAGGGTTTTACAAGCAGCGGCGAGCTTGAAAGTGATGGGATGAGATCCTGGCCAAAGGCCGAAATGAGAAATCCATCAGGAATGCATTCCCTTTCTCTCCTCGTTTTTTTTTCTCCTTCTCCCCGTCTGGGGAAGAACAGCTGCTGCTATAACTCTACTGTACATATCTTCCTTCAATCTAACATGCAACTGCAGCAGGGCATCCAGGCTGTCTCACAGACAGGTTACTGAGTCTGAGGTGTGAAGATAGGGAGCGTTTCTCCTAAACATTTCGAACATTAGGGCCAATGATAAGCAAACAACTTTAAATGCACAGAAAGATACAGTTAAAAGAGAGGCAGCCTTCTAACAAATCGAAGTGTACTTTCTCAGAGTATCAAACATAGTGCTTTTTGCCGTGTTTTACTTTTTTTTGTTGCTGTTCAAGCCTAAACAAGGTAAAACATTGTGAGCCTCTTCTTCTGCAAGAGTGTTTACAGTTAGCTTGAGTCCAATTGTGTTTAAAACAACGATTCAACCATAAACCAGATAACAAGTTCTTATAGAAAATCTATATTATACGGACATTCATTATTATTATTATATGCATGGTAATTCCTTTATACGTGTTTGGATGGAGGCAGAAATCTCAGGGCCCAGATGCTTCAAAACTTGGGAAAATGCAAGTCAAACTTTCTGCAATGCTATATTCCACAATATATAAGTATATGTTTTAATAATGTGGGGGAATTGACATGCAGGCATGCTACATCACAATTCTCTCTTGTTCTGGGTGTCTCACCTGTACTCTGGCCTCTGTGAGTTTTGTCCTCTGAGCCAGCTCCTCTCTGGTGTAGATGTCTGGGTAATGTGTCCTTTCGAAGGCCTTCTCCAGCTCATCCAGCTGCTCAGCGGTGAAGGTGGTGCGACTGCGTCTCTGCTTCCTCTTTAGGGGCAGGTCGGGCTCCGAATCTACATCTGAGCCTTCGTCTGTGCGGTTAGCTGAGGTGAAGAAAAAGAGACAGAGGGCATCTGTGTGATCATGGAATGAAATCAAGTTAAAGAGTGTTTTGTGTAATTTAACTGAGGGGTGTTTGTAGAAAATAGCATCAAATGTGAGCTGCAACTGATCAAGAAGGAGCTTTAACAGCATTATCTGCATTTTGGAGCCTCTTTTGTTGCTCCAGAGAGCGGGACCGGCAACACAGAGGATTGCAATGACAGCTACTCTCTCTGAATATACAACTGGGAGAATATTATCTTAATCTGTGGATATTTATTTAATATAGAGATACACAATCCGGCCTCTGCGAGGGGCCCCAGAGGCAGTGCAGGCAGAGGGCTGAAGGGGTGCGGGGGTGTCGGTGGGTAGAGGGGTTAATCTGCACAGGCCACCTTGCTGCTCCTCACCCTGCTTTTCTCTCTCATTGGCCCAGGGCACACTGCTCATACACAGCTCAGCCAAAGTGTGTAAAATAGAACACAATATCACACCAAAACCATTCAGTCCCATGTGTTTCCATCTGCTGTCATTAAATGAATTAGAACATATTTTACATTACTTTTTAGGCATTCAACTAAGCTGAATTTTTGCTCGAGGAATATAGATACTGCACAAAGCTGTACAATCCAGGCCGACAGGGAAATGTTTGACAGCAAATACGCATTACCATTGCACATTACCATTATAACTGAATTTAGAAAATTGCATCATTTTCACCTCCTCTGCATGTCTATTCAAACTACATGGCCCTTTTCATTTCATGTCATAAAATTCATATTTTCATAATTTCCTCATTGAGACATTGACAAGGCGGCGTGATGTGCCAGTGTTGCTCTAGGCCTAGTTGGATTGCATCATGCACAGTCCAGAAAGTGTGGGAGAGGGGAAATAAAGGGAGATATTGAAGGAGAGGGTGTAAGAAGAGATTTCTGCTTCTGACTGAGGCCCTTCGCTATTCAGCTCCAATAAAAACTATAATGCTCACCTGAATGTCTCACCCGAGTGAGTGCCTACCGTCTAATTCATTGTTTAACAGCTTCAATCTCTGTTTTTAGCTCACTTCAGTCAAACCTTTGAACATAAGTGGACAAAAGAATACTCAAACCTAGCCTCCAAATAACAACTGTGAGAACAAAAGAGCAACAGAGCTGGCGGAGTCTCAAGGCCAGCTCCAGAGTTTAATTAAACAAGGAATTATGGGATTATATGGAGACTATCATTACAGGCCACTCTATGAGTCTTCTACGAACATTTTTGTCCCCCTGAGCTCATGCTCAATGATTCTCTGCGGATTACATGTGGCCGCAGGACATGAGGCCGCATTCATTAAATCAATTCTTCAGTCTTATCCTTTTTAATAAAGATTGATTCTTGAAGCACGGGCTCACTCTGCTGCAGAACACCCTTGAACATACAAAGTTGAATATGTACATACACCACATATCCCTTTGTTGGTTTTCATGAGGATGCGTATATCCATTTGCCCAGTAACTCGCCATGACGACACTTGAGACCAGCCCAGCAGTCTGCAGATCACTTTCCAAAGTCACCTCTGTGTCCTACAGGGAGACGAGGGGGCCGGAGTAGACACATACTCAAGGGGCTCTGAGTAAGGCTTCTCCTCCTCAAATTATTTTCTTTTCCCCTTCTTTGTTTGAGGTGCTTTCACAGACTTTACATTGCAAGTAGACTGCTGTGGCAATCAGTGTCACATTTAGCATGCTATCAGGCTAATGACTGATAAACCTACGCAGACAATAGCTTGTACTGCTGCTCTCCATTAAGCCGACAGAGACAACACATCTGCTCTTGTACAAGAACCAGAAGCACAAGGTCAACAGCCGTGCCTGTAATGAGCGAGGGAAAATGGAAAATGGCACACGCAGCACCGGGCCAACTGGGAATTGGTTTTGGACGTAAACCTCATCTATATGCCGACTACATTTGGCGAATAGAGGAAAGAAAATACATTAAAATACATGGCTGAGCTCCATGTTATTGTAAAAAGAAATGAGTCTGACACAGGTTCCTTTTTAACTTCCAGCGTGTTACAATAGTCTGTTGAAGAACGATTATTCACAAACTGGATTGGATAAATGTTTTTTTTTTTCTGTCCGTTTTCCCGACAAAAGGGACATTAAAATCTTAATTGTAAGTCTCTTTTTCCCCTCACACATGGGCCAATGTTAACAATCAAATACAAAATAAGACTTATCGCACCAAATCCCTGCAGGGCTGTCGAAGTCATTTCCTTAATGGTCTCTCGGCACAAAAAGGTACATTTTGATTACACCTTCCAATAATACGACGGCGCTAATACCATTCACAGGTTCATTGGATATTGATAACCCACTCATGCCTTGTTTCATTACTTATCATCCAATTAGAATCTAATTATGTCCCATCCAGTGGGCATGATTACTGCCGTGTACTATCCTGCAGGGGCCCTCTGAGGTTTTTCCTCAATATTGATTTAAAAGCGCACCTATTATGAATAGGAGTTAATCAGGTTTACACATTGCTTTGTCTAGGTTCTCGATTAAGATTAGAAATAACACCTGGGAATTGTTTAAATAATAGCTATCTTAAACTAAATTGAAATGAATGTCATAACTTGTGAAAGAGATGTTTTCAATACAGGAGATGGTTTAAAAAAGGTCTTATTGGAAATGAATAATTACTGACTTATTGTTAATGGTTCTGCATATAATTGACAAAACACTTGGGCGTTACAAACCCGAAAAACACATTTTGGTTGCACAGTTGATGAACAATAACATTTACAGTGATTAACAGTTGATAACGTTAATGTCATAGTATAAACCATCACTAATGATGTGGAGAACCACACAATGTATTCACCCTGGTGTTACTCATCTGTAATGGTCTTTTAATTCTGACCAGACCTTTTAGATAAAACTGAGTCCTTACTCTTGAAGGACTTGTGTTGCTAGTAAATGGTCTTAAGGTTACTATGAGGTTTAAAGCCTGCTCTCCCCCTGATACTCCTCTGCTGACCCCACAGACAGACCCCTCAGACTACAGATGGGATCCTCATCATCAGCCCGGTTCCTAAAAGCCCCTCCCCTTTTCTTATCGACCCCCTCCCAACCTCCTCTTCTTCCCTTCTTCTCCCTCCAACCCCTCGGACTCCTGCAGTCCTCCACCTTTACCCCCGAGACGCTGAGGTAATGCTGATTAAACAGACAGCTGTCTGCTCAATGCCGACAATTAGCCAAGTGATCTGTAAGGTTACAGATTTACGATTCAGAACAACGGCAATAAACTTCATCGCTACCAGGTTGTTGAAAAATGTGGCTAAATACGTGCATCTGAACCTTGTTCTCAGTGAAAATTCCTTGAGTACATTTCCACGATTAAGCATCGCAATGAATGTTAGAAGTAAAACTTGATATATGAAAAACATTAAATTGAGCCATTATATGAATATCACAAAGAAAAAAGTTGAATGGGTAGATATCCATACTTTTAAGAGGTGTATCAGTACTGAGAAGAAATCTATCATGAAAAAAATAGAATAATAAAAAAAAATAGACACTGACAAAACTTAAATGTTATTTTGCAGGCCTAAAAGATGAAAAAAATAAATAAAATGTAACAATAATTAGAAGTTGCAAGTTACTTGTTTAAAAATAACAGCCCAGTGCAGTTGTCAGGTATTTTATCCTTCATCTCTGACTCACCTGTGAGCAGTATTAGCTTAAAGTAAATTGGCGCTCATCCTAGCCAGACTGTCTCTGACATCATAACCCATGGCCTCAATATCAGCCATACCTTTGCAAACTATCCAAGACAGAGGGACAAAAACAGACAGGGCTTTGGCAGTGCAGCATTAGCTCATAATGGCTCATTTTGAAAAGCATATTAGTTCCAGCATAATTACAATCAGGCCTCACGCTCTGTGTTTTGAAGGCATTCACAGGACCAGCCTCTGAGCACCGAGTCACACCAGTTGACTGTGACTGACAGCAGATTTAGTTTAAAATGCTGTTTTTTCCTCCCTCTTTTTTTCCCACAAGACAAAAATAACATCGCGTCTTTTCTCCCTGTTTATGTTGACTTGTTTATTTTGTGCCTACCTTTTGTCGTAGTTGATACTGCAATTATACTTTTTGTCAGTCAGAGGGGGTGAATATCAAAAGGACTAATTATGCAAACAGGCCTGTGATAAGAGGCATCTGCCTGAGATGGGATCTGCTATCTCTGACATGCATCTGTCTCTGTGCTGTCTTTGCTGCTCCAGGCCTGCATATAAACAGCCCTGCCTGTCCCCAGGACTGCATGCGATTCAACCACCAACACTGGAGTGGAGGGATGTTTCGGGGGCGGGGGGGATCGTGCTGCAACATCAAATAACTAACAACTTCCCAATTTGCATTTCTCTGAGAATGGTGCGCGTCTCTGCTTAATGCACTTGCCTGTTCATCCCAAAGGGGTTGCCAAGTCAAAGGAGGCATGTGATTCAAGGCATTTACCGAAGGATGTATCTGAGATAGGAACCTTATGTGAATACAAGATAGACGACAGCGATAACCAGAATGGTTTAAAGACACATTCTCTATGAATAATCTCTTCCTGTAGTTATCTGCATGCAAGTGAAAAACAAAAACAAAAACTTTATAAGCGAGCATAGCTTTTGCATAATTGGATATTCCTCATACAGTATATATTAGATTGAAATATTTAGATACAAACAAACTAACAATTTGTTAAAAGACTTTATATGTGGAAAAATCAAGTTAACTGTTTACTTGGTTTGGTAACATGCCGAAATGCATCATCAATTTCCTCTGGTTGTCAGTGACCTTCTCTGGGCCTTAATATGACATTTAGCTGAAATTGAATCTGGATGAGATTTGTAACTTTACATAAGGATATTAAAACTCTAATGTCTATCAGAAATTACATCATGCTAAGCTCACCTTTATGGACAGATGTCACTTGATTCAGATTTATCTCATGCCTATCATGTCAATTA